TGGCTGGCACCTTAGCCACTTGAGCCACAGGCACCGAGCCAGTTTTAGTTTTTACATTTAAGCCAATGATCCTTTTAGGGTCGATTTTTGGAGGTGTAGATTTCTGTAGAGCAGAACATCAAATTTTAAAGGGTTGAAGACATAAAAAGAGCCCTGAAGGATACCAGAGAAAATAAGTTTTTGAGGCTATGAAAAGAGCAAGTGGGGTCAATGGTGTCAAACACTTTAGAAACCAAGATTGGGTATGGTTGAAAAGTAGGTAAGGACAATTTACTGAGCCTGTTCTATGCCGAGCGCAACACCCCTGGGTCTTACGTTGTTCAGTCTATGGAGGCTATTGTGCTTTGAAGAAATGTATAAATAAGAGAAAAGCTGAAGGTGGCTGGAGTTGAAGGAGACTGTATGATGAAGGATAAAAGTCAATCATGGAAATAAGGGGGACTCGGCAGTTGGAGTTAGGTGTTATTGACAGGAAAGGCCTCTGAGGAGGAAGGGGACCCGGGGCACAGTGGAAGGATGAGCTTTAACCTGGAATTACCCAGCTTGAGTTCCAGAAAGGAAGATGGGGGCGATGAGTTCCGGAAAGAGGCAGACCCGAGAGCTGGAGGAGGAAATGGAATTAACCTTTTCAAATGCCATATGGAGCCCATGAAAGCAGGCATTACAGATTTGCAAATGACAGGTTTCCGTTCAGAGAAATTGTTATCTGGTCTCCGTCACGTGGTGCCAGGCCACTCTGCCTGAGAGCCCGGGGCTGCTGGACCGACGGCCGTCAGTCGGAGCCCCCGAGCGACTTTGACACCCGAGACTACACACCCGAGATGCACCGAGGCCGGAGCCGGAAGCGATCGCGGGAGGCCGGCTCCTCATTGGTGGCGGCGGCCGCCGCGCAGCCCCGGAAGGCCCGCCCACGGCCTGGGCCGCCGCGGATCGCGGTCTGTACGCCGGAGGCCGGAGCCATGCATCCCGGTCGGGCCACAACCTGGTACCGGCGCATGTCGGTGGTCTACGCACTCGGCGCCTGGACCCTGTTGGGCTCAGTATTTATTTTAAACAAGAAGAAGCACAAGCTGCCAGGTAGAGCTCTCTGGCGGGACCTGCCTCTGGACACGCCGCCTTCGGCGGGGACTGCCCAAGGAGCTTCGGGAAGCTGTGTATCGTTGCTTTAAACCCCAGGTTTATTCGCAAAACTAGTTGAAATGGTTCCTTAGAGCTGCTGGTTATAATGGAATCTGCAAAGAACTGGACACCAGAACTACCTTTTAAGTACTGTTACCTAAATCTTAATATTGAATAGGGCCTTCCCCATACTCAGAATGGGAAGAATTTCCCTGACCCTGGTGGTGGTATAAAGAGGCGTTGCTTCTGTACCTTTAGATCTCCTCACTTATGGCGAGCAAACGATTTCAGGACTTTGAGCAGCCAGGGAGTATTAAAGTCTTCCCAGTTATTGGAA